CACCCCCCAAGCAGAATTCACCTTTCCTCCCTGAGAGCAATTAGCCTTACAACTTAAACTTAATAGCAGAAAGGCAGCTCTGCACTAGAAAATACAGGAAGTATTTTAAATATTCCTTGTACACGGATCTTCGTTAGCACTAGGACATGAAAGGAGCCGATCACACTCTTGGCGGTGTGGGATCTAGTCAGGGAAGATAGTAAGTATATCCACACACTTGAAAACAAGAGGAAGAATTACCTTTGGGAATTCTAGAAGGATGGCAGCGGTGGTGAGAGCATACTTTTTGGATATTCCAGTGAAAAACAGAGCAAACGGTTAGCAAAACCGAAAGTCCATGGGCAATGTTTGCAACAAAAGTCTGTGAAGAGGTATCTTAAGGCTCTCAAAAGCAAGTGACTAGGAAGGGACAAACTACCAAAACTCATACAACCAGCACGACATTGGCATCTGTGCACCAAAAAAAAATCAGAGGAAGCAATGAGGAAGCTCGGGAACCGTGGAGTAGGAGGGCCCTGCAGTAACCGTTACTGTTCCCTGGCAAGTGTTGCTGGTGGATCTGAGGAGAGCAGCTGAACACAGAAGAGCAGAGACATTGCCTCCTCAAGAGAAGAAGGGCAAGCAGTTCACGGGAAGGTCTTCAAGGCTGGACAGCCTAGTGCTCTCAGTTTTTGAAACAGATAAACAAGGCTGTCTTCCAAAATAGGAACACAGTGAGGGAAAACTGCTGAGTGTGGCGTTAAATGTGAGCAGAGCGATAGAAACACGGGAAAGAGAACATCCAAGGGAAAGTGGGAGAGAGAACAGAGCCAGGAAATCTTAGAAATAAACAGCCAGATTTTGTGTAATTTTTAAAGAAATTTTTATTTAGGTAATTGTAGATTCACATGCAGTTTTTAAAAAATAATGCAGAGGAATCCTTGGTATACTTTACCTAGATTCCTCCAATGGTAACGTTGCAAAAACGTAACATCGGAACCAAGATGTTCTCGTTGATACAGTCTACCAAGCTAATTTAGATTTTCCCAGTTCTGCTTACATTCATTTGTGTGCATATTTAGTTCTGATAGGGGCACTTATAATGTCCAAAGATTGAGCGCCTGAATTAACCTGAAATTATATTGCTTATAAAATTGTAGAACACATATACATATGTGAGCAGGCAGTTAAGTTTCTTTTTTCCTGAAGTTTCTCTCTCCTAGGCCTTTGCGCTCGTACACTCCCCTTGGTCCCGGACGGAGCAATTAAGGAGGTGACGAAGCTGTGGAACATTGAGTCAAGATATCACCTCATCCAGCCCGGCCGGGCGTGGCTCAGCGGTTGAGCGTCAACCTAGGATCCAGGCGATCAGGGTTCAATTCCCGGTCAGGGCACATGCCCGGGTTGTGGGCTCGATCAATGACTCTCTCATCATTGATGTTTCTCTCTCTCTCCCTCGCTTTTCCTCTCTCTGAAATCAATAAAGATATATTTAAAAAAAAAAAAAAAAAGATATCACCTCATCCAGACATCACCAGATGACCAAGAACAAAGAATGACATCTTTGGACTTCTAGGACTGCACGTAGCTGCAATCCGTTCCCAGCCTCAGTTTGCCCCATTTCCCTATATAACCTTGTCCCTCAGGCCACTCCTCAGGACAGGGTTTGGATGCTCGCATGCCCCCTGTCTTCTTGGTTGGCCGGCCTTCTCAATAAACGCCTTACGTGATTCAACCCTGCCTCCGCTGAATTGGCCGCAGAGACAGGCAGCCCGAACCCCGCCCGGGTTTCGGGTAACAGTTCTATATCATTTTCTCACATGTGCGGGTTAGTGTATCCACCACCACAGTCAGTGATGCCGAACAGTTTCAAAATCACACGGATCTTTCATGTTGCCTTTTTTTTTTTTTTAAACATATTTTTATTGATTTCAAAGAGAGGAAGGGAGAGGAAGAAATAGAAACGTCAATGAGAGAGTCATTGATCGGCTGCCTCCTGCACGCCCCCTGCTGGGGATCCAGCCCGAAACCCAGGCATTTGTCCTGACCGGGAATCAAACCTTGATCTCCTGGATCCTAGGTTGGCACACAACCACTGAGCCACACCTGCCGGGCTCATGTTGCCTTTCTATAACCACATCTGCCTGCCTCCTCTCTCTCTACATCAGGGGTGGGGAACCGTTTTTCTGTCAAGGGCCATTTGGATATTTATAACATCATTCTTGGGCCATACAAAATTATCAACTTAAAAATTAGCTATGAAAAAAGCTCCTAGATATAACGAATTTCGAGTCCCGCTTGCAGTTACCTTGGCAGGACCAGACCAAATGATTTTTTTTCATGGTCAGTCTAGCTAAAGATTTGTCAATTGTGTCGGTTGTGTCAACAAAACAGTTTTTCAGTTCATTGGCTTTTCTGTATTGTTTCTTTAACTCTTTGTTTTGTTAAATTAATAAATTATGCTCTAATCTTTATTATTTCTATCCTTTTGCTTGCTTTAGGTTTAGTTTTTCCTTCTTTTCCAGTGTTCTAAAATGAAAAGTTAGGTTGTTAATTTGATTTGATATTTTTACTCTTTTTTTTTTTTTTTGTCAGTGTCTCAAAAGTGGAATATTTACAGTATTTTGGCATCTAGGCTTAAGCTGTTTAAGGCTGCCTCCTCAAGATGGAAGCTAACTGGCACTGCACAAAATCTAAAGAAAGTCTTGATAAGCACATTTTTGTTTGGTAAGTAGTCTGTTTGCTCAAGAGAACAGATCTAACCTTCAATAAACTTATCTGTAGGGATTTCCTAAAACAATTGTTGGAATTATTTTTGTTTTAGAGTCTTGTTTTCCTCTGGAAGTTCTTCTGGAACAAAGAACCACGTCATGTTGACATAGGTGGTCTACAGACTTGTCTAAGTCATGCAGACACAGCTGGTTTCAGTTCTCACCCCCTAAACCAAGTCCTTCTGAGATGCTTCCTGCCTGAGTCACTGGGAACACTCTCCACCCTCCTACTCCCCCAGGGGAAAGATCTTGGTGCGCCTTTACTTCTGCATCCTCCAAGGCAGTCTCGCACCCTCAACTCGTGCTTTGCAATTGCTTCCCAAATGCTCTTTCAGCATGTCTCCACTCTTTCTTTCACATATAGTTTTATTTCTGAAATAAATAAGTCACTTCTCCCCTAAATGATTTACAATAGTTTCACAACGCTTATATATGGGGGGCGGGGAAAGTGGGTTTAAGTCACTGACTGAATTGAATAAAGATTAAAGGTTAAAAATAAAAAAGCTCCTGCCACATTCCAGGTAAAGAAAAGCAATAGACAAGTCAAATTAATCTAACAACAGTAGGTTTAACCTAAAACTTTTTAAGACGTTTAACATCATTTCATTATTATTTTTAGTGGAAAATTGAGGATTATTTAGCAACACTGCTTTTACCTGTAATAAATAAACAATGATAAAGTCAAGTGGGGGGGAAACCTAAGAAAAACCACCAGTGAGGCATATAAAATTGTTTTTAGGACACTATCTGAAAAATTCATGGATATTTGTAGCAAATACGTCCCTATGTTTGTTTCTGTGAGCCAAGAGGGTATTAAAATGTTGTCCACGACACAGAAAGGCTTTTCAATGTAAGCTGCTGCCCTAAACTCAGCCTCTGCTAGAAATGAACCATGCTAGTCACAGCTATTTCAACAGAACTATCATCTTAGGATGCTAGCAGCATAGCAAACTTAACTTACCCTATCCTAATGATAAGCAATGAAGCAAAACTAGAAAACTGAAGTGGAAAAAAAAAGACAGGGTAGGAGATAGCTAGAGATCTTATCTTTACATGAAAAGCCTTTTGTTGAAGTTTTTCCGAAGCCATCGTAATACAAGTTTTCCAAATGGATGTGAAGAGAGGACTTAAAATTAATAATGCACTAAAGTATTTCTAAATCTTAAGTTAAAAATAACACTGAAAAACTGTTTAAAGTATTACAGATATCCCCTCCCCCTTTTTAAAATAGGTTTTTATTGATTTCAGAGAGAGGAAGGGAGAGAGAGAGATAGAAACACCCATGATGAGAGTCATTGATCGGCTGCCTCCAGCACACCCCCTACTGGGGATCGAGCCCCCAGCCCGGGCATGTGCCCTGGCCTCCTGGTTAATGGGTTGATGTTCAACCACTGAGCCAAGCCAGCAGAGGCCCCTTTGGGAGAAAAAGGGACATCTGTAATATTTTAAACAAAAATAAACAAACCAAAAAAATGCACTATAGTAAGTACTATACACTGATTAAATTTTCTAAATATTCAAAATAAAGCTAATGACATTGTTTAAAAAAAGTATCTTTATTAATTTATTAATTTATCTGTCCCCCTCCTTTTTTTTAGGGACTCAAGCACATTATCCATGACAAAAAATTTCACTGCTATACAAAATAAAATTAATTCTAACTTTTATTCTTACAAAATTTGAAGAGTAGAATTGGAAGATTGCTATAAGTTTTAATGTTGGTAAGAACTTGACTATAATACAGCTGAAATGCGGTGGTGAGCTGAGCAAGAACGTTTAAAAACGAAGTCACAGATTGTCTTTCTATACTTTTTTTTGAAGAAAAGTATAAAGTTAGCAAGCAGTCACAGATGAAAGAATAAACAAAATAGGTGGGTTGGGTAGTTCAAATGAGAAACAGAAATATCTATTTAGAGTTTAAAATGGGCAGAGTGGGTTTTTTGCAGCAAGAAAATGGGGTGGTGGATGGCAACTGATAAAACGGGAGAACCCTCAGCGACATTTGCTCTTCTGCCTGCCAGCCTCCTCCACTGCTGATATCTACATTCTCACTGTGGGGCTCTTTTACAGGGGTCTTTCAAAGGATACCTTCAGCTAATGTGAGAAAGGCCTTTTCAATGTTTATGCTGGCTTTTGTACTAGTCTCAAAAAAATCTAATACCATGCTCTTTTGCAATCTGTTCTCCGTTTCCTTTAGGTGAAACTCTTTTATAGCCATATCACACTTGCTTCCTAGTGACGCTCTTTCCACACCTTCATTGGCATGCTCATCTATGTTTCTAAGCCGTCTGCTGATGTTTTCAAAATTTTTGCCATTGATGATGTCATAGACTAGCACGATACCCACTGCTCCTCTGTAGTAGGAGGTTGTGATGGTGGGAAGTCGCTCCTGGCCTGCCTATCCCATATCTGCAGCTTGATCTTCTTTTCTTGTAATTCATATGTTTTGATCTTAAAGTCTTTTCCCATGGTGGAAATAAAGGTGGAATTGAAGGCATCATTCAGAAAACGTAAAAGGAGGCAGGTCTTCCCCAGCCTCGCAACCCAGATCAGGAGCAGCTTGAAAAGCAGGTTGTAGGTCTTAAACTTCATCACTGGGAAGGGTGGCTCAGGCACTCACTGCCGTGGGCCCCAAGGGATGGGTCCCTCTCACTATGGTCAACTCTTCAGTTGGTGTTCCTAGGCCAAAGGACCGAAGAAGCATGGGGGGAAAAGAGGGCTTGAGAGGGCACAGGGGACCTACTAATGGCCTTGACAATGAAGCACCAATGGTGGGGGTAGCGGGCATCTCCGAGGACAGCATCGCAGCTCCACAGCCTCTCTCAGCCACTCTGCCCTGTTGGGGTGGCGGGTGGAGGAGGGTTCACAAAATGGCCTTCCCTCCCACCTCAGGGCTGGGAAGATCCCACAAAGCAAGCAGCAAGCTCTGCTATGGAAGGAGCACAGTGTGCTTCATTTGTTGTTCTTTTTCTAGTCCTTTTAAGTGTAAAATTAAATAGCCTGAGATTTTTCTTTTTTCTTGAGGGAGGCCTAAAATGCTATGAATTTCCCTCTTAGGACTACTTTCACTGTGTCCCATAGATTTTGGGTTGTTGTGTTCTCATTTTCATTTGTTTCAAGATATCTTCTGATTTCTGCCTTGATTGCATTGTTAACCCATTCAGTGTTTGGTAACATGCTATTTAACCTTCATGTTTTTGTGTGTGACCTAGCACGTGGTCTAACCTAGAAAACGTTCCATGTGCACTTGAAAAGAATGCATATTCTACTGCTTTGGGGGTGAGATGCTCTGAAGATACCAATTAAATACATCTGATCCACTTTGTCATTTAAGGCTGCTCTCTCCTTGTTGATTTTCTGTCTGGAAGATCTATCCATTGATGTCAATGGGGTGTTAAAATCCCCTACTATGACTGTAGTACTGTAGCTATCTCCCTTTATATTCATTAAAATTTGCTTTACATATTTTTTAAAAGTATGTTTTTATTGAGTTTAGGGAGAGAGAAACATCTATGAGAAAGAAATTTTGATCGGTTGCCTCCTGCATGCCCCCTCCTGGGGATCAAGTCCAAAACCTGAGCATGTACCCTGACCAGGAACTGAACCAGCAACCTTTCAGTGCATGGAACATTGCTCAACCAACTGAGCGACACCAGCCAGGGCAAGATTTGCTTTACATGTTTAGGTGCTCCTATGTTGGGTGCATAAATGTTTACAACGATAACAAGAGGATATAAAAGATTATATCCTCTTGTTGGATTGCTCCCTTTATCATTATGTGGTGTCCTTCTTTGTCCCTCACTATAGCCTTTGTTTGAAAGTCTGTTGTCAAATATAAGTATTGCTGCCTCAGCTTTTTTCTTTTTCATTTCCTTTTCCATGAAATGTCTTTTTCCATCCCTTTACTTTTAGTCTGTGTGTATGTTTCATTCTGAGGTGGGTCTCTTGTAGACAGCATATATGTGGGTCTCATTTTCTTATCCATTCAGCTACCCTATGTCTTTTGACTGGAGCACTTACGCCATTTACATTTAAAGTGATTATTGATAGGTACATATTTATTGCCATTTTATTCTTTTAACTATGTTCCTCCTTCCTCTTTTCTTCTTCTCCTCCTCCTCCTCCTTCTTCCTCTTCTTAAAGAAGGTCCTTTAACATTTCTTATAATACTGGTTTGGTAGTAATGAACTCCTTTAACTTTTTACTGCCTGGGGAACTCTTTATTTTTCCTTCAATTTTAAATAGCCTTGCTGGGTAAAGTAGTCTTGGTTGTAGGCCCTTGCTTTTCATCACTTTAAATATTTCATGCCAGTCACTTCTGGTCTGAAATGTTTCTGTTGAGAAATTAGCTGATAGTCTTATGGGAGCTCCCTTGTAGGTAACTGTCTCTTGCTGCTTTTAGGATTCTCTCTTTGTCTTTAATCTTTGCCATTTTAATTATGCTGTGTCTTGGTGTGAACCTCTTTGGGTTCATCTTGTTTGGGACTCTCTGTACTTCCTGGACATCTGTGTCATTTTTCTTCACCAGGTGAGGACAATTTTCAGTCATTATTTTTTCAAATAGGTTCTCAGTCCTTTGCTTGCTCTCTTCTTCTGGTGCCCCTATGATATGGATGTTGGTAAGCTTCATGTTGTCCCAAAGGCTTCTTTTTTTTTTTTTTTTTTTTTTTTTTTTTAACATTCATAGGAACTTTATTTATTTAATAGTCAAGGACCAAGCAAAATGTCCATCAACAGAAATGGGTAATAATTGGTGGTATCAAAGGTTTCTTAAACTATCCTGAGTGTTTCTTCTTTCACTGGTGTGGATATAAGGTACTATCTTTACTCCTCACATTATACCTTTAGGATTAAAAGAGCAGTAAAGGTCAAGAAACAGAGTGACACTATTTGTGCATATGGTACATACGGAGTTAAAATGTACCCTTGGATTCATGGTCATCTTGAAATGATTAGTGGCCTAGTTTCAGATAGAATGCTCCATATCTCTGGTAATATACTTATCATTGGCATCTTAGCTCAAATCACATATGGTAGTAGAGAATTCCTAGGGCCTTATTTTATAACCCAGACTCTCCAACTTGGGAACTTCCAAGAGCCTAATTTTCTCGTTCTTACTTGGATATCAAAGTGCTGAGTTCACAGTCATGAACTCAACCAACACTTTATTTAACTTGTACTGTCATTGCCCTCAGTATATAACACTATCTCACATGATGTTGGCACTTTCAGTGGTAAAAGAAAGTTATTTTTTCTTTTTAAATTAGTATTAATGATATAGTGTTATGACACAAATATCTTCCTTCCTTCTTTCTAACTTCTGTTTTCTGTTGCTTTTTTTAAAACTCCAACTCGCCCCCTCTTTCCTTAGCTTTTTTGGGTCGGTATCTCAGTTCCTTTTTGTTTGCTTCTTTTTAGGACATATAGAAAAATTTCTCCCTAGAGATAATTATGTTCGTGTTTGTTACATTCTTAAGAAATTAATTTTAATGACTCCTAAATGTCCTATTTCCAAGAAAAATGAGTATATTGGTGAATTTTGGTTATACTCACTGCCCCTAGAAACCTACAGAGGTTTCTACTGTCCATCTGAAAAGGCAAAACAAACAATGATGTAAATCAATTTCTGGGAAAATAAAATGGTGGAAGCAATATAGAGCCAAAGCACAATATAGCACAACAGTATTTTTCTAGTCCTTAACTTCATACTCAGGTACCTCTAACATTTTTAAATCTTTTCTAATTAATTTTGGTGAGGGGCAGGGCAGTGAGTAAAGTCAGTGTTAGCATGTACAATGTCTTTGCATGAATTACTAAAAGATGCCCACACTGGGTAGATGAGTAATAAGAAGGCATTCACTTCTGAGCACATGAAGCATATGAAGATCCATGTGATGCATAGTTTCCTATCTATTCCTATATGCCTGCTCAAACTTGCCAATGGCACCATGACCCTAACACCTTATAAAATGCCTGCATGTAGTAGGTGCCTAATAACATTTGTCAAGTTAGAATGGCCCTACATGTTTCATCCTCTGTCCCTCCAGCTGTTAATAGTATCATTTGTTACAACCCACCACCAAAGCATTAAGTGCTAGAGATGTCGAGGTTTCCTGACTGACTGAGTCCCCCAGAAGCCAGTATACAGCTTATAAAAACTACCAGAGACGCCCCCCCCCCC